AAATGTCAAGTTTTAGTATTTTTGCGAATTTTGATACTTTGCTTATTATATTTGGTATTGACACTTGAATGTGAGCATATTATTCAAATGACGTTTCCGCATTTATTTCTAATCTACTATAATTGAGAAAAAAAGTATTTATACATTTGGCGTTTATTGAGAATACTTATTTACATGATATTTCGACTTAAGTAGCGGCTTGAGTTAAATGAAATTCGGGCGTTATAGACGAAACCGAGCTCGAACGGTTCCATAATTATATATGGACCCGACGGTTCCATTTATTAAACACCCAAAAGTCTTGGGTCGGTCTCGGTTCTCTTCAGAGCCGAACTGAACCGACCCACAGACAGCCCTAAGAGAAACTGCAAATACATGAACTGAGAAGAATCTACAAAACTTCCAAAACTTTTGCGACTTCTATCTAAGCCCTGGTGCCAAATCTATGATCACAAGTGTTTCAAAGTTGCACATACAAGTGATAATGAAACCAGTCGTACAATTCAAAACATAGAGGTTCGCGTCACTCCGTTTTCAACTATTGCACCAAGTTCTAATTTACGAAAACCCAACCACGTCCAAGCCATTATTAGGCTTTTTAATTACCATAAAAAAAAAAGAGGTTAGAGAAGATAAGTGAGCAGTCCTCCCTTGTAAACTTCTTTTCATCATAGTAAATTACTGCAACGATGGAAGAAGATGTTGTCTCACATTGAGAAGAACATATCTTGCATTTTTATTTCTTTCTGCTAATTAATTTCTCTCAATAGAATAGAATTAGAGTTTCCAATTCTCAACAAATTGCTCATCCGTAATTGCAAGTAGCTCAAAAAATTGTAGTCTACCATATGAAAAGGTGATTATAAACTATTATATCAACTTTCAACCTTACGTTTCATCTACTTCTAAAAAATTGATTTTTAGTAAACCAAACAGTGGCTAAATATTGCCCCGGAAATATTTTTGCAGCAATCGCAGTTATAATTATAATGTTTATTCCTAGCTCAAGAAAATCATTCTCCACTTTTAGGAAAACATTTGTCCATGCTAGTAGTTCTCATTATTCCAAAAGCAAAAATTACTAGTATCTTAAAAGATATAGCCAATAGCAATTTGCAAATTGGATCCTAAGTAAAGTCGTTCTTAAAATCATTTTGGCTTGTGAGAAGTGGTGTAGCTAGTCAGTGCTTCGTCTCAATGAATCCGAAGGATGTTATCTCTTCTATGTTACCACAGATAACTACTTGCAAGTTCAACTAGAGTAAGCAGTGACCATCTATAGTGGTTTAAAGCAATTAAGACGGTTAGTCAGCAAAGAAAGAAAATAGTTAAGGAAATTGCGTAATTGATGCATCATATTTGAAAAAATAAACATGTTCATTGAATTGCTAATCATTGAAATAAATTTATCCATGCAGTGTCCATGTAGCATATATAGCAAAAGATAGAATTTTTTTTCCTGGAGTTAAAGAGGGCATTATGGAGCTAGAAATGCAATCAATTAAAGAGGCATATGTTGTCAGCTGTACACTTTTAAAAAAAAATATTATTATAGGTAAATACTAAATTATAACATTATTAAGAAAAATATATGGGCATGATGTGAAAAATGATCATAAAATTACGCTGACGAGGTTATGAGTTCATTCTTAACTTGCTATGTGCCCATTACATTTTACTTTGTCTACAAAAGTGCATAGATGGAGGGAAAATGCTTGAAGGATAAACCTTCCATAAATTATTACATCGTTATCTATAGAAGAAACCTAAAGACAGCATAATGAAGGAGATGTAGAACTACGAAAATCTCTTTCATAATTTAATTGAATAGTTCCCTTTTCCATGTCAAAGATTTCCGCATCATTGCCACCTCCACCTGGTTCAAGGGAATAAAGCTCGAAATTATCATCCGTAAAGTAGATGCAATTAGCTTTGAAAGTTCCCTTACATTCTGACGAGGACAATGATGTAGATACATTGTGGCCAAAGAACAAAGCTTGATCCCCCTAAGTATTCAATTCAACCAAACTATGGGCATATTTATTTCCCTCCCCGCGTAAAAAAAGTATTTATACATTTGGCGTTTATTGAGAATACTTATTTGCATGATATTTCGACTTAAGTAGCGCATTGAGTTAAATGAAATTCGGGGCGTTACAGAATGGAACTGAACCCAAACGGTTCTATAATTATATTTGGATCCGACGGTTTCATTTATTAAATACCCAAAGTTTTGGGTCGGTTCGGTTCTCTTCAAAACTAAACCGAACCAACCCACAGACAGCCCTAAGAGAAACTGCAAATACGTGCTGAGAAGAATCTACAAAACTTACAAAACTTTTGCGACTTCTATGTAAGCCCTGGTGCCAAATCTATGATCACAAGTGTTTCAAAGTTGCACATACAAGTGATAATGAAACCAGTCGTACAATTCAAAACATAGAGTTTCACGTCACTCCATTTTCAATTATTGCACCAAGTTCTAATTTACGAAAACCCAACCACGTCCAAGCCATTTTTAGGCTTTTTAATTACCATAAAAAAAAAAAAAAAGGAGGTTAGAGAAGATAAGTGAGCAGTCCTCCCTTGTAAACTTCTTTTCATCGTAGAAAATTACCGCAACGACGGAAGAAGATGTTGTCTCACATTGAGAAGAACATATCTTGCATTTTTATTTCTTTCTGCTAATTAATTTCTCTCAACAGAATAGAATTAGAGTTTCCAATTCTCAACAAATTGCTCATCCGTAATTGCAAGTAGCTCAAAAAATTGTAGTCTACCATATGAAAAAGGTGATTATAAACTATTATATCAACTTTCAACCTTACGTTTCACCTACTTCTCAAAAATTGATTTTTAGTAAACCAAACAGTGGCTAAATATTGCCCCGGAAATATTTTTGCAGCAATCGCAGTTATAATTATAATGTTTATTCCTAGCTCAAGAAAATCATTCTCCACTTTTAGGATAACATTTGTCCATGCTAGTAGTTCTCATTATTCCAAAAGCAAAAATTACTAGTATCTTAAAAGATATAGCCAATAGCAATTTGCAAATTGGATCCTAAGTAAAGTCGTTCTTAAAATCATTTTAGCTTGTGAGAAGTGGAGTAGCTAGTCAGTGCTTCGTCTCAATGAATCCGAAGGATGTTATCTCTTCTATGTTACCACAGATAACTACTTGCAAGTTCAACTATAGTAAGCAGTGACCATCTATAGTGGTTTAAAGCAGTTAAGATGGTTAGTCAGCAGAGAAAGAAGATATTTAAGGAAATTGCGTAATTGATGCATCATATTTGAAAAAATAAACATGTTCATTGAATTGCTAATCATTGAAATAAATTTATCCATGCAGTGTCCACGTAGCATATATAGCAAAAGATAGAATTTTTTTTTCCTGGAGTTAAAGAGGGCATTATGGAGCTAGAAATGCAATCAATTAAAGAGGCATATGTTGTCAGCTGTACACTTTTAAAAAAAAAAATTATTATAGGTAAATACTAAATTATAACATTATTAAGAAAATAAATGGGCATGATGTGAAAAATGATCATAAAATTACGCTGACGAGGTTATGAGTTCATTCTTAACTTGCTATGTGCCCATTACATTTTACTTTGTCTACAAAAGTGCATAGTAGATGGAGGGAAAATGCTTGAAGGATAAACCTTCTATAAATTATTATATCGTTATCTATAGAAGAAATCTAAAGACAGCATAATGAAGGAGATGGAGAACTGCGACTATCTCTTCCATAATTTAATTGAATAGTTCCCTTTTCCATGTCAAAGATTCCTGCGTCATTGCCACCTCCACCTGGTTCAAGGGAATAAAGCTCGAAATTATCATCCGTAAAGTAGATGCAATTAGCTTTGAAAGTTCCCTTACATTCTGACGAGGACGATGAAGTAAATACATTGTGGCCCAAGAACAAAGCTTGATCCCCCAAAGTATTCAATTCAACCAAACTATAGGTCATATTTATTTCCCTCCCCATGACATTCTTCTGGCCTCAAAATAGAGAAACCAGTCGTTTAGTATCTAGACTTCAAGTTGTTGTCATCATCACCTTCAAATAGAGTGCCTCCTCGAATACGAGAAACAGGCAAAAGATCTCCTACTGATTCTACATGATACTTTTGAATAGAACCATGTGTCTTAGTTGGAGCAGGAGCCACCACTATTGCTTTTGGGCCATTATCGTCATCAAGGTCACAAACAACTACAACTCCATGACAATCAACAGCATAGAATTTACCACTATAGTAAACAATATCATCGTAAGGACGGGAAGGGACCATAATATTGGTCCAAACACTATCTCCTATTCTTGTAAAAGCCAATATATCATCTTCTCCATAAATAGCAGCTACAATGCAATCTGGATTATAATTAGGTGAACTTTTTGTCTTTCTAGGATTTGATGACATCACTATCTTTTTTCACAAAGAAATAATGGTAATCCTGTGGTGGAAATTAGTCATTATAATCATACTGAACAGGGAAGGTCAGCATTGGTGGTAGGCAAATTTGCTGCCTAGAAAAGGGATGTAATAGATTGATTTGTAAATCGGTGCCAATTGTCATTAACCATCCATAACCTGCTCCAACACACTTCCTACCAATAGCTTCCGGCAACCAGAGTCCATATGTTTTGTTAATAAGCTCAGAAAGCGACGAACGGGCACATCTTGTTTCCTCCCTTGATCGTTGGTATCCATGGTTTCAGCAAGCATAAGCCAAGGATATCTAATAGGCAATGGAGGTTTTCTCTCTAGTATTGAAGTACTTGATTGCCATGATTTACAAACAACACCAAAGAAAATAAAATCCTCCATGGAATGAGATCTTTCTGCTATGACACCAAAAACGTCTAATGGCAGTTTCAGTCCAATCTGCCATGTCTGCAAAAGAAGTACGAAAAAAGATTATATATTTTTAATATGTTCTACCACTAAACTAAGCCATCGTTTGAGCCCATTAAATTAAATTTCATTACATTAATTTTTTTTCTCTCTTCATTTCAACCACACATTCATCAAATAAATCATATGTGACACAAAAATCTAAAATTTTTCAACCACACATTCTCTCATCAATCAACATTCTAAAAATTTTCAACCCCCCAAAAATGGGGGCCAAACAGGGCTAAAATATACTTATGATTGATTAAAAAAAAAAAGATGTATTTCAATATCCCCTTTTTCTGAATCGTGGATTTACCTATTTATGTTCAACATAAAGATTCTTGTTAAAGGCGAAAAAACAGAATTGAATTAAGCGACAAATACGTTAAAACAGCGATTATAGAATTGGGATCTTGAGAAAATTTTGAGTGTTTCTGCTGTAAATAGGAGAATTTAAGTATTTCCGTGTCCTTCTTGATTTGGAAGTTTTGTAACCCGGAACTAGTAGGCAATAAATTTGAAGGAAATATTTAATTTTGAAGAGAGGATTTTTTTTGTTTTCTATATAAAGTTACGGATTACCTTCATTAATTAGGATATATTAGTACTATTTGTCCAAATAAATCACTGTGATATAATTAAAAAAAAAAGAAATTAAAATTTGGATTTTTATTATAGTCAAAGTCAAGAATTAATTTTAACCGTGAAAATTATAACTTTTCAATCATATATTTTATTAATTTTTTATCAAAATATACTAAAATTTTGATTTTAATTTTTACCAAACACGGGCTTTACCTTTTAAAGTCAACCTTTCTCATGATCAATTGGATGGTGTACATGTGTCAACTGACCATGGTTACATGGAAATAGAAAAGATAGGTTGGGAACTTAAATGCAAAAAAGAAAATTAAAATCAGCACCAGTTTGTTACCCCCGTTCGGGAGGGCTTAAAATCCTATTAAAATTGAAAATATGGCCGTTATTGGGTCCCACTCGTCTAATAAAAGTCAACAATAACGGCTAGATTTTCAATTTTAATCCGATTTTAATCTCTACCGAACAAGCCCTAAAGAAGTTAAATTTTGGTGACAATGCAGCTGGTCAATGGGTTAATGGTTCAATCGGTGACCCAATGATTCAACCGGCAGGTCATTGCATAAAAACCTACAAAAAAATATAAAGCATAAAAAAAATTTAGGAGAAAAATCAAAATTTTTAATTTATTTTTCACTAATTATTTAGGTCTATAAAATAATATAAAAGATTGGACCAAAGTTTTTTAAAAGAATATTTTTTAAAAAACTATAAATGATTCATTAAGTAGATATAAGTTATTACACACAAATATTATTAAAGTACTTTAGTTCAAGTAGTGAAAAATTTATTATTTTTTTCTTAGAGGTCCAAGATTTAATTTCCTTGGACCCAAAAATTTTGTAAGAGAATTTTAAAACTCAATCAAACCGGTCAACAGAATCGGGTAAATCGCCGGTTAATTCGGTCAAAACCCAATTTTGACCGAGTTAAGTATATTTCTATTAAATCACTCTGTCCGGTCCAAGGGACTCGACCGATTTTTATAACTATACTTTATAGAACTACCACATGGACCTGATCGGACATATATTATCCAAACTCCAATCATTAGATTATGTCTCCTCGACCCTACACTAAAGTAAAAAAATTGCACTCTTGAATTATATAAGATCACAGAAGCCAATAAATCTGTAATACTTTCCTCTGACCTATCGTATATATATTTTATCCCCATTCGAAATTCGATAATTAGGTACCAGATTATTCTCGCTAATTTAAGTACAATTTTCTTCAATGGTGTTGTAAACTAATCACAAATGTTGAAATTTAGTCGTTGTTAAACATTGAGTTCAGATTTTAACCGTTCAACAAAAATAAGTGGTCATTCTACCCATTTTTTATGACGACGATTTTCGACATTAATTCACATTCTCTGTTTCGCTCATTCTCAAATTTTCAACTCACCGATATATTTGATCAATCAAATTGATTTCACTCATTGATGAATCAAATAACCATTAAAATCACGATAAGATATACATAATGTTGTCAATGAATTTAGATGAAATACACAATGATCACGTGCAATTTAATTATCCGGATGATCATGCTATAGAAGTAAACTCAACACGTGGTCCGTTCAATATATTTCAAGCACACTAGTGTCACTTTAACTATTTATGTGCAAATTTGAATAGTGAATTGGTCAACACAACAACGTTCTAGTACAAGATACCAACCCTTATACATTAATTGTGAACAAATTATTTATGATCAAAATATAAATTATATCACACTATAATTCTCAATGCAAGTATCGAACTTATATTATCACAAGTGATTGTAGGCACTTCAATTCACATGATCAATAATAAGTAAATACAATAAATGAAACAAAAGCAATTTTATTTAGTATAAGAATATTGTATTTTTTACATTAGCAAAACTATAATATATGGGTACACAACCCAACAACTTTTATTATCTAAAGAATGAAATTGCAAGCTTAAATTTTATGGTTGAACTTATATTAAATTATTGGTTAGAGTTTGTATTGTGATAAATATACAAGTATTGTAACGTTTTTGTACAAAATGTTTCAATTTTTGTGTTATAGTGAAATTTATATTAATTTTTCTATTGTTTGAAAGATGTTATATTTACATTGCGAAAATCGTGGTTGAATCAAACTAAATTGAAACAAAATTGTTTGGTTTAGAAACTGAAATGGTTTGGTTTGAAATTTTCATATCATTCAAATGATTTGATTTGAAGATAGTTCAAAAATTGTCCAAATCGACAGAATTGTGTTTACCCCTAATTTATATGTCAATTATGCTAAATATACATCTTTGTTGACGTTAAGTTTGACATTATTGTCTGGTAGTAATTTTTTATACATTGATTTCAACAATACTTTAAACAATCAACGGCATAGATTTTGACAACACATGGAGTGTCAAACTTAATGTACACCAAGTGTGTACAACTAGTTTAATCTTTTATATGCTACAGAATATTTCAAGTTGATAATTACATTTGATGCAAAACACCGTATAAAGGGAAACTAGTTACTTCGAACTGATCCTCATTATTTTCAAAATATATTTTTCTCTATCATTTTTTCAACCACACACTCTTCAATAAAATATTATGACATTCAAACCCAAAACCTTTCTTTATTTTTTAATCACACATTTTCTAGCAATCTACTATTCCAAATGCATTCTTAGTAAAAGATAAGGCTCAAACAAGCACTTACATGCTTAATAGTGTTTTAAAGTTTGGACATGCTAGGTAGTTCAATCGGAAAACTCGTGACATGACCATCAATTTGGTCAGTCACTCCACGAGATCGGCCTGCTATTAATGTGGGGGAAAAAAATTGGATAGCTAATCGATTTTTCATTTAAAAAAATATATAAAATATAAAAAACTGCTGATCCAATCCCATTAACCCGGCAAGTTATTGATAATTTAACATATCACTAACCCAAAAACCTAGCTCTTTGCTGGATCAGTGCTGAGATAAGTCTGATAACTAAAATTTTAGGCGTGTGCAAGTCTTGTGGAACATTACATTAACTACTAATGCGATTGTTCACTTATCGTACAAGTTTATACAAAGTTTAAAATAACACTATACCCTTGTATGAATCCCATTTTTTTTAAAAAAAATCATTTTTTCAAAATACATTTTTAACTGCACAATCTCCAATAAAATAATATTATATGCAAACCCAAAAAATTTCTTTAATTTTTAACCACATTTTCCTTCAATCCACTATTTCAAAATGTATTTTTCCCCCCAAAATGGGGTTCAAACAAGGGCTATATAATACAAGTGTACAAGGCTATGAAGGCTAGGTAGAATTAGGGGTGTCGCTCGCGAGCAAAAAGTTTGGGCTCTTTTTTGCGCAAAGCATATGTAAAAGGGGATTTAGTCATCAATCCCCAAATCGGGCCAACTCAAGTTTTTTGGGGTTCAAGTGTGGGCAGTCGAGCCGATGAGCTAATTTTCCATCCCTAGGTAGAATTAGTCATCAATCAACGTTGAGTAGCAAAGCATATGTAAAAGGGGATTTAATATCTCATAAAGTGAGGATATACAATCTCAAAAACTTAAGTTGTAGTTGAAGTGAAACGCGATTTGGCTTTTTCGCAAAGTTGGGGAGTATAATCACAATTCGTGCATTTTTCTGTTCAAAAAACTCATCAGATCTTCTTGTTGGATTATTATTATTACATACATGTTTTGTGTATTGTATTTCCTTCACAAAAGATTCAAAAAACGAATTCAATCTTGCTAGCACTTGATTTCTCGTCTTTGTTTGACAATGTGATATTTTTAATCCAATTCCAAAGCAACTGACTCGATAAAAATATCCGATGGCATCACTTTGTACATTACTAAGAATTTCACCACTCCTTTGTTGATATAGAAATTTCGAAAGCTAGGGACTCGAGAGTGAAAGAGATCGTTT